AGTTTTCTTCAAACAATTCTTAAAATGCGCACACTCTTTCGTTTATAAACAACAGATTATACAACATAAAAAGCATCGCAAGCGCCAATTCTTTGGCAACTTTCCTCTCAGCATGTCCAGGAAAAATATCGTTAGCGTCATTTTACCTTTAGAAAAGAAGGTACGCAAAAAATAAATAGTCCTATTAGAAAGCTGGCATTCAATAATCTTGTTGTCTATTTAAATCCAAATAAATTTTTACATTGTTTAAGGGAGAATTAAAAAAAAAACTCCCCTTTAATATTTACCTTTTGAAGTAGTATTTTTGGTACAAAAATAATATTATTATGAAATTTTTGGAAAGTGATGAAATGCTGTATCTCAGTAGCTGCTTCACCGATCCTTACCAAACTCGGTACGAGCCTTGCTTAGAGTCCAGCTAAGAAATAACATGAAAATCTTTTAAATCGGGCAGTAACCACGCCCGCCTCCCATATAACGGTAATTTACAGAACCACGAAAATTGAGATAAATCTGTAACTACTTAAGCTACTTCGCTCAAAATCGATGATTGCAGTAACCACTTACAGATCTATTCTGCACGCTACCGAAGATTTTGTAACCGGCAAATTTTATCACCAAAAAATGTTACCAGTTAATGCCACCGTAATTTATTCTCACAATAATTCTAAATTGTTAAAATCTATTTGCATGTGAAACCTTATTCCATACAAATAAAACGATTGAATAGGAGCTTTTTGAACGTTCGCCCAACTCAGCAGCACAATCGCTGATTACTGGGCGTTGCAAAGGATGGATCAATGCTTCGAGAAGCAAACGAATTGGCCAAGAAAGAAAGTTGCAACAATTTTTATTTTTTCCAATTTCAATTATTATTTTTTTTTTGTATTTCACATGGCACGCTTTGATTTAGAAGAAAAAAATCAGAACTGTTTTTGACAATTTCGATACCAGAAGCAATAACAAAATACACGCAACTGTTGTTTTTGCTCTAATGCTACTACCTGTTTGAGATGTCTTGGTACGTTGGCAATGCAGTTAAAATATTTAGCAATTCAGCTATGAAGAATTGTGGAAATTTTAGCATTGCATATTTCACGGGGCAATATTTTGTCACCAGCTTATGAGATGGTAACAAAATGTACCGGTTACAAGAGTACACAGAATTAAAAATTGACGGGACTTGATTTACCGGTTACAATTTTTTTTTAGCATTGCAGAATAGACCTGTAAGGATAAAATTAGATTATTATACATTTTTGGATAATGGGCATGGCACTGCCCACTTATGACCACAAATGTGTATTTCGGTAACGGATTTATCGATTTCTACCAAACTTGGTTCAATTATTTCCTTAAGTCTAACTCAGCATAACATCTAAATCGTTTAAAATCGGAAAAAACACCCCTGCTTATCATGCAAAGGTAGTTTAAAGAAAGCTGAAACGACGATATTTGATACCTACGCGGGTATAGAATTTATACTTCTTTACTTGATTCTTCTTATTTTTCATGATAGTTTACATACAAGCACTTTACCATGCTCCAATCACTGTATTGTTACGTTTGCAGGGAATCAGCCCCACGTGATACGAGCAGGTTGAATAAGGAAATAATAAGAGTTTACGGGGTGTGCTTAGCTCAGTTTTTAGCCTTGCTGACTTTGCACATCGGTGATGCGAGTTCGATTCCTGCTGAAGTCAAGAGAAAGAAGTATGATGAGGAGATGTGGCGATCTCCGAAATAGCAGCTATAAATTCTACCGCTTAGACCGCGGTACAAAGTAGGGATGTTGCGAATGTGGAATTTTAGACATCCGCGGATGCGAATGCGAATGCGGATGTCAAATATTTTTAAGAAATAATTTTGGTGAGTACATTAGGTGATTTAGGTAAATAAAAAATGGAAAAGTTACTAATTTTTAATAAGGTTTTTTTTTTTTATTTAGTACTTCAATTAAAAAATTGGAACATTGTATTTAAGAAAGAGTAATTTTGCTGCCTTTTCGGGTTACAGCCTGATTCCTACCGGGTCGTAAATCAAACCTGCGCCACTAAATAACTATTCGCTCGAGGCGACAAACTTGAAACTTGACAAAATTGTAAATTCTTTTCGATTGACGCTGCACGAGTTGAGAAGACTTCCAGTTACGTTTCTTTTTTTATTGCGGTGCAACAGTTCCTTTTTGGGAATTGCATCGGGGCTGCAAATGTCGGATGTATCCTCCTGACTTTCATCTTCACAATCTAGCATCATGGCAATGTTTCAGAATTTGGAGAACCTGTTACGTCATCAGCGTTTTTCGATTTCAGTTTTTGTACTTCATTTTTAATCCTGTCTTCTGTGACTGGTTTGATATATGTGCGCCTATAGCGAGGTTGTGAATAGGTGGATATGGCACATAAATTGTTAGTTTCTAGGAATGAAAATTTCGAAGAAAATTCTGTTTTTAAAAACGTGGCTGCCAGCTGAAATAGTTTAAAATCTTGTTATTTTGTTAAAAAGATACCCCGTTTTTATAATAATTTGAATTATGGAATCACGGACGATAAAGGTCTCAGATTTGCTTAGTTCTCGGGTGACTCCTTGGAAAGGTTTGCCTGTAATGAATACCTTGTAATTAGTTTCTTTTTTTTATTAGTTAGTTTAGCTTCCTAGTTACAGGCAGTCACAATTAATTACTCACCGCTGTCGGTACCATAAACTATCAAATCTGTTTTGTTGTTCCATTCCATGCGCTCAATGTGTTTTGATATATTTTTTGAGGCGAATGAACGCAAATTTCCCACATATATATCGCTAATACTATTTTAAGAGGGCTTATTTCACATTGTTGCTGAAATGCAAAAAATCCAAACTAACTGAATTTTTGTATTGCCTAAAACGATGTGGGAACTTATGATTCGATGAAATGCATCAATCGAAAAGTTAATTTTGGATTTTTAGTTAGTTACGGCTTTTTGTATTTCAGCTACGATGTGAGTTAAGCCCTTTCCATAAAGCATTGTTCACTCAAAATCGGTACGCATAAAATGGGTTATATCTTTTTAACAGGTTTTCAGAAATTAATATTAAATATATTAAAATAAGGGGACGAATTCCGCTATAGATAGATATTAGCGAAAGTTTCATATTTTGCTTGGATAATCCAATAACAGACAATTTCGTTGATAATGATAAAATTTCTAGAGACTTGGGCAGTCAACTTCTTCCACTAAACTATCTTTAGTTTAAGTTTTTTCATAGTTCGCGCATCTCTACTAATTTTGTTTTCAATAAACACCGTGTATTTTTCGATTTGACGTAAATAGGACATATTCGTAAATTGATGAGTTCCAGAACTTTATTCATATCTTTGGCTTTAAACCGATTTAAAGTTACATGTGAATAATTAATTTTCATTAAAACCAACCAAAACTTTACTGAAGGTCTAAAGTAAATGATACAATGGCTTAACACTTTGTGCAAGTGCTCCTTCCAGCATATTTCTGGGATCATATGACCCATTGTGGAGTCTGATCGAGTTTTAATGATACTGTTTCGATTCTCTCGTAATTTCATATCCCTTTGAAAACTGTGTCAACTTCTATAAATTTAGTTTTAAGAGGATATCACCCTGTTTCTTTTTAGCTTAAAACTTTTAACGTGGGAGTTGACCGAAGTCAAGTTTTAAACATGTTTTTTAGTCATTACTAAAACAAATACCGCATTTGGTGTGAACATTGGGGTAAAGTAAACGGGTGAGGTTTTTGTTATAAAATTAATTTAATCTAACAGAATTGTATATATTATAATTCGATAAGGTTTAAGTCTTGGCATAGCTTCCATTCGCTGAACTGTGGATAATCGTTTTGCAATTCTCTCGCGCGATCTTCTTCTGATAAGCCGTTTTTTTTTATAATTGAGGTAAAGAGCCTTATACTTAAGCTGGTGCGAAATGATTTTTTTCGATGATTAGCTTACTCTGTTAGTTTAAGCAGAAGGAATCCATTCATTGAGTTTTTGAGGAAAATTAGAAGTTTTTGGTATATTTAATTTTAATCAAATTTTTGATCTCGAGAGAGTCGAATTTTCAACGAATTTGTTCAACGTTATTTTTTGAGCAGCCACTTCCAACGCGAATAAAACCGTCAAATTAAAAGCCAGTACTATGAAATTTCAACCTCATAATGGTAGATCTATTGTCTAACGATCTGCATTGCAACTTTTTAATACATTCAAACAATTTCCGTACAGAAATTGTTGGAACGCGTAACGATTTAAAGTGAACAATGCTTTACTATACTAACCATATATTACATGCCAAGTCCCACGCCTCAATAGATATAAAATTCACCTTGAATTATTTCTTATTTAATTTGTGAACTTGGCTGTCGACTTATTTACATACCATTTTATCTTTATTTCGATGCGTGCTAATGTTGACAATTTACACAAAATTAAGATAAATGCTTTTGTTTTCGAGCTGAAAGACTAATAGAAGGAAACACGGAACTTAAGAATAATAAGTTTTATGAGGAAAAAAATAATTACACTAAAGATGCATCCAGTTTTTTCAACAGACCTTTGACAAATAATATTCGATTCTCTTTATAGCTAGCCGTTGAACATTTCCGCTGGAAATACCTACTATTATCTTACGCTTTGACTTTAAATTACGAAAGAAGGTGGACGTAGGGGACAGTCTTACCGTAGCATCTCTACAGGCAAAAAATATTGGCTAAAATTTTTGTTTGCCAGATACGTTTTAACAGTGCACTTGTACAATATTCGCATTCGCAGAAGCTCCGCATTGATTATTGCGAATGCGAAAGCGAATGTCATAATTTATGCGGAAGTTCCGCGGTTGCGAATGCGAATGCGAATATTCGCAACAACCCTGATACAAAGTTCAATAACATTGTTAATTAACTTTAATTTGATATACCACTTGTTTCGATCGGTAAACGGATTCTCCCGATATTCAAACTTTTTTATGACGAAGTAGTGTTATTACTTACTTTTACTGAGTTGTGCTTCGAGATAGTTTTGTTGAAACCATGGAACATTCGCCTCGGGGTAATCCAGACAGACTGTGCGATTCAACTGCATTATTAAATTAAGTACTCGTTCTGGATATGTTGCCTAACGTTTTGAAAAAATAAAACAAAAATTAATGGAAAATATGTGCTTATGTACATACATACTTTATGCATTACAATAGTAAATACGGATACACTACCTTTGAGTAACACATATGAATCTCGTCCTCAATCCGCTGAACAAACTTCACACAAAACACCGTATCGATTAGGTCCTCAGGGATCGATTTGTAGTAGCAAAGTGCTAGACATGCCTGCACGACCGACAAACCGCTCATATGTTTGAAGTCACTAATGGGATTATACTATTTAGAGGTGTGCTAATATACATATCGACGCACAGAGGAGTATTTGCATAGTAAAACCGGTCAAAGTTATTTTAAGCGTTTTTCTACTCAGTAATAAAATAAAACATGAAACTTAATCATAATTACGGATTTATAGGATACAAATTACTACAATTACATTTATCTTAGGCTCTTTTTCGTAAAATATTTAGTTCAGTTACCATAATTCCACAAACAAACCTTTTTTCAGAAAAATACAAGAAAAGCATTAATTTTTCCAGAACACTTTTAGGCCGACGAGTTCGGTTATGCACTTCGTTCTTTCAGACTGGCTCTTAATTGCGAATCACTGCGAATTGTGCAAAAATTTTCGATGCTAAAGTTTTGATGCTTTTTCTATTTCAATTAAATAAATAACTTAAAAATAATATACAAAAAAATTCGATAAATTGTTCTAAGGCCACAACTGTTCTCACCGAAGCCGATTAGAGAGTAGTGCTGTCCAGTTTCATAATCCTGCAAAGGATCTCCCGAGGACTTTAAAATTAAAGGGTATGATCTCAGTAAATCTGGGTATCTAGCTCCGATGAAAGCTGTTGACTCTCAAGTACACTTTTCGGCATTAGTTTTTTCGTTTTAAGTTATTTTTACAGATGAAGAAAAAGTTGGAGAAAAACTAGCTATGGATTGAGTTTTTTCAATAGAACTATGACATATAGTATTCGACCGTTACGTAATTTTTACCCAATTAAAGGTCAGGCTTACAGCTTTTTAAAAATTTTACGACTCATCGAGTTTCGTCCTTCGAAAATCAAAATGGTCACATGTCAGTAAATTTTTTTTTTGCTTTAATTGCTCGAGGATAACTGGATTTACATATATTTCAAGGAACCAAATTTTGACAAACCTTGATAAGTAAACAAAAATACCAATATTTATACATAAAAAAAAAGAATCCCAACCTTGACTATTTTCAGGTCGACATATATCAAAGAGAAAGCAGCAGGGGGAGTTTTCATGCCTACCTTTCAATATATCGGTTATTTAGCTTTAGGAATAGCATATTTAACTGGACTTTTGCCAAAATTGGTAACTCTGACTTTTGACCGGGTTTTCAAATATTCGTATGTGCGTCGCCTGGCTAAAAGATTGTCGTATGTTATTTTCGGCAGGTTTTTTGGAAAATCGCAATTGAAATTAGGAATGCAGTTTCTCAAAAACGCGACGATAGACTTTCTTCAAAGTCCCAGAGAATCTTACTATGTAGTTTATGAAAATCCTAAAATATATTTTTGTAGTTTATTGTTAACTAGCCAATGCCAGCTTGCTTCGCGGCGCCTAATAAGATCTTTTGCGTTGGCCAATACAAAAATAGCGTTTAAAAGTAAAAGCGGTCTGTAAAATAAACATTTTTAGTTTAAATTGGAACGAATAAAGAGCAGAATCCTCCTCACACATAGGCCAAGAATAGTAGCGCTGTGATACCATGTGGAATACTAATCCCTTTCGATGTCATGAGTTTTATCGATGGTCTTATTTCCACCTGTGAGATCTCTACCAAGCGTGCGTAATATTCTTCTATGATCTTGCAACTTCAACACTGGTCCGTAAACCATGTAAGCCAATAAAAGTCCTTATAAGGAAACTAAAGAGCACAGATGAGCGTTGTCAGTTATTGGAGGGGCAGCGCAATCCATTAGGTCCCTTTTCTGCAAAACCACTGCTCGTCAAGAAATGAATACGCATTATGAATTTCAATCAGATTATAGTGGGTTCATTTTTAGGAAACGAATTTTTCATCTCACGGGTAGCTCATTTTGCGAATTTGAATGAAATCGGTTAATAAATATGACTTTTATAAATAACTCTACTCCAGCGCCACCTGCGTGTTGTCTAGTAGGCGATAATTTGCCTGGTTTTTGAGATTAGTCCGAACAACGAAAACGGCTATCATTTTATGTACGTATGTACTAGGGTGGTCAAAAAAAATCAAGTTTTTTTTTTTTGATCCGACACGAAAACTAGTTACTAGGTACCTCTACATAGAAAGTACATACCAAATCTGAGCTCTTAATATTAACGGGGAGATTATGCTCATCATAGTTTTCCATTTTCAATTTAGTCTCATATAATATGACCATTTTTATATCACCAATAGATCGTTAAACCAGTTGCATCGTCAATATTTATAGGAAATTGAACGCTCTACAAAAATGGTCTCATATATTCTTTTCGTCAATCTAACCATTTTAAAGATATTCAAGGTCAAAGACTGAAGTATTTTAAGGAAAATAACTTTTTGTTTTGAATTTTGTAACTTACTAAAAAATAATTATTTTCAGATGAGTTTCAATTATTTCTATAGGAAATTAAACGCTCTACAAAAAAGGTCTGGTGTAGTTAATCGATTACTCTAACCATTTATAAGATATTCGCAGTAGAATCCCAATGCCTGATTTTAATAGTTTTTCAATAAATATTTTCAATTTATCCATTCAATTTATGCGTTTTGAAAATATTCATGAGAATTTGAGTTTATCAATTTTTATCAATTCAATTTTCAATCAAGTCAACTTTTATAACTTAAACTAAAAGAAAATATATATTTTTGTATCAATACTGTACTGAATTATAAAATTTCATATGGCGAAATATAATTTTTTTTCTGCTGATATGTTTGATGATATTCTTCTTCTTCTTCTATCTTGGCGCTGTAACCGCCTANCTTCTTCTTCTTTTTTGGCGCTGTAACCGCCTAAGCGATTTTGGCCGAGTTCAGCAAAGCACGCCAGTCGTTTCTCCTCTGTGCCAACTGACGCCAATTGGAAACGCCAAGTGAAGCCAAGTCCTTCTCCACCTGATCTTTCCATCGCAGTGGGGGCCTCCCTCTTCCTCTGCTACCACCAGCGGGTTCCGAGTTGAATACTTTCAGAGCTGGAGCGTCGGTGTCCATTCGAGCGACATGGCCAAGCCAGCGGAGCCGCTGTATTTTAATAAGCTGTACTATGTCCATATCGTTGTAAAGCTCATACAGCTCATCGTTCCATCGTCTGCGGTACTCGCCGTCGCCAACGCGTAAAGGCCCGTAAATCTTCGGCAAAATCTTTCTCTCAGACACTCCAAGAGTCGCCTCATCGGATGTTGTCATTGTCCATGCTTCTGCGCCATATACCAGCACGGGCATGATGAGTGACTTATAGAGCGCGGTTTTCGTACGTCGAGAGGGGACTTTACTCCTGAATTGCCTACCCAGTCCAAAGTAGCACTTGTTGGCAAGAGTGATTCTGCGTTAGATTTCAATGCTGACATTGTTATCGGTGTTAATGCTGGTTCCCAAGTAAACGAAATTCTCTACTTTCTCGAAATTGTAACTGTCAACAGTGACGTGGGTGCCAAGGCGCGAATGTGCTGACTGTTTGTTTGATGACAGGAGATACTTCGTCTTGTCCTCGTTTACCACCAGACTCATTCGCTTTGCTTCCCTATCCAACTTGGAAAAGGCAGAACAGACTTCGCGGTTTTTGTTGCCGATGATGTCGATGTCATCGGCATAAGCCAGCAATTTCACGCTCTTGTAGTAAATTGTTCCTGAGCGGTTCAGTTCTGCAGCTCTTATTATCTTCTCCAACATCAGATTAAAGAAGTCACATGAAAGGGAGTCGCCCTGTCTGAAACCCCGTTTTGTGGCGAACGGCTCGAGAGGTCTTTCCCAATTCTGACGGAGCTGGTGGTATTGCTCAACGTCATTTTACACAGCCGTACGAGTTTTTAGGGGATGCCACATTCAGACATAGCGGCGTATAGGCAACTCCTTTTAGTGCTGTCAAAAGCGGCTTTATAGTCGACAAATAAGTGGTGAGTATCGATCCTTTTCTCGCGGGTCTTTTCCAAGATTTGGCGTATTGTGAATACCTGGTCTATGGTGGATTCGCCAGGTCTAACGTCACACTGATAAGGCCCAATCAGTTCATTGACGGTGGGCTTCAATCTTTCACACAATACGCTCGATAAGACCTTGTTAACTATGCCTAGAAGGCTGATCCCGCGGTAGTTGGCGCGAATGGCGGGGTCACCTTTCTTGTGGATTGGGCAGAGCACACTTAAATTCCAGTCGTCGGGCATGCGTTCATCTGACCATATTCTGCACAAGAGTTGATGCATGCACCTTATCAACTCCTCGCCGCCGTACTTGAATAGCTCAGCTGGCAGGCTGTCAGCTCCAGAGGCTTTGTTGTTTTTCAGCCGCGTTATTGCTATGCGTACCTCGTCATAGTCAGGCGGTGGAACGTCGACTCCGTCATAATCGACTGCGGGCTCGGGTTCTTCTTCTCCATAACTTTCCGTGCGGCTACCATTTAGTAGGGCGGAAAAGTGTTCCCTCCATAATTTAAGTACGCTCTGGACATCAGTTACTAGGTCGCCATTATTGTTCTTACAGGAGTAAGCCCCGGTCTTGAAACCTTCCGTAAGTCGCCTAACTCTCTGGTAAAATTTTCGGGCATTCTTCTTGTTGGCCAGCATTTCAAGCTCTTCGCACTCACGTATTTCGGACTCTCTCTTCTTATTGCGGCAAATACGTCTCGCTTCCCTCTTCAGATCCCTATAGCGGTCCCACATAGCGCGCGTTGCGCCCGATCGCAGCGTGGCCCTGTAGGCGGCATCTTTTTTCTCTGCAGCTTCCTGACACTCCTCATCGTACCAGTTGTTCTTTCGGGCTCGCTGAAATCCGACTACTTCTTCGGCGGCGGTACTTAATGAGCGGGAAATGTGGTTCCACTGCTCGCATATGTCGGTTGATGATATTCCTTAAATAAAAACCTTCTTTTTATGAAATAGATCATAAATTATCTCAAAATTCATTAATTAAATGGATAAATTGGAGATATTTATTAAAAAACTATTAAAATCAGTAGGCATTAGAGTTCTACTGTGAATATCTTCTAAATGGTTAGAGTAATCGATTAACTACATCAGACCTTTTTTGTACAGCATTTAATTCCCTAT